ATGAAACTCCATCCCCTTCACCAAAATGGCCGTGCTTGCTTGTAGGAAGCTTTCAGAGTCCTCCTGGGGGCTGGAGGGCGGGGAATTGAGCAAAGAATGGCCCGTTTTTCACTCATTTCTGCCCTCCCCAGCCCCCAGGAGGACTCTGAAAGCTTCCTACAAGCAAGCACGGCCATTTTGGTGAAGGGGATGGAGTTTCATGAGGCCAAAAATGCTGTATTCAGTGTATAAGACGCACCCAGATTTTCAGCTTCTTTTTTGAGGGGAAAAGGTGCATCTTATACTCCGAAAAATACAGTAAATGTAGTGTATTTGGAAGGCATTAGGTTGAGGAAGGAATGGACTGGTGTTGCTGTTGTTTTTAAAAAAAACAACAGACTACCAGCAAGTTAGGCCATACTCAGATAATTTTTCCAAAGAAAATAGCTATGAGTTTCCAAACTCTGCCTGCAGCATGGTTAAAGATTCTTAACAGCTGCCTCTTGGGGCCTGCAACATGATATACTCCTTTTACATGGAAAAAAAAATAAAGAATTTAACCCTTACTAAGGGTTAAAAATATAGCCAGGGATTTGGGCTTTTCCCATCAGCTGGAAAGTGAATTCCGATTCTTGCTCCGATTAAATGTTTGGGGTTCAAAATATTGGATCCTGCTAAGCACCGCAAATATATCTGAGAAATTGGTCTGTTTCTACTTGGAAACCACTTCTGGACTTTGTGCTTGAGGTAGAAAACCAATGAAACTTTGGTTTTGGGCTTTACCGATTTGATAGATTTTGTTGTTATAGAAACATCTAGTTTCTATTATTTTGTAAAAGTAAAAAGTTGAGGTTTGATGTTATTATTTTATTATACTGCACCAAAGGCGGTCGGAAGCCAACACCTTTTTTTCCTCTTCCCCTTCCTTTTCTACATTTCTCCCTTCCCCTCTGCATCCCCTCTTTTTCCTACTGTTTGCTTTTATATTTTTGTACTTTATATTGTAAACTCACAAAAACTGAAAAGTTAAAAATTAAAAAGATCTGAGAAAAAGATTCAGATTGATGCAACTCTTAATAATCGTTCCGGATCAGGGTTTTCTAAAACTTAACCATTTTTAACACATGTGGTCTTCAGATCCCAGAATTCCCCACTCAGCTGAGGTGGAGAATTTATTCCAGTTGGGAAACACAGATCTAGATTTATTTATTTATTTTTTAAACTGAGATAGTCCGTTGTGTTTCCCAGGCCGGATATTTTCCCTTCCTCTCCCCCTTGCTTGCAAAGGTTGGCAAGGAACAGCGGGCAGGCAGATTTGGGCAGGAGTGAGTGGCACATTATGTAAGGCTGCTACCGTATATACTCGAGTATAGGCCGACCCGAATATAAGCCGAGGCACCTAATTTTACCACAAAAAAAACCTGGAAAAGTTATTG